GCCTTTATCTTTTTCAGAAATCTCACTGCCTTTCTTTCCTTGGCACTTTGTTCAAATACCCTTCTAACACGCTGAGGCACAACATGGGACAAAGACCTCCAAGGAAAAAACACATAAAGCAGTACCAGTCCTGTACTTTATAGTAATGAAAAGCAGTTTTTCTAGTTAAATCAGTCTGCTGCTCTGTACTGTACACTAACAGAGACCATCTGAGCATCACAGATTACAGTTTAAGTTGTTTACATAGATATGGATGGCAAGAAGAGAAGATGGCATGTACTTATTTTGGGAATCACTAGGTAGATATGCAATCTTCCAGACCTTTCTGTAAGTTTACTGATCTCTGGAAGGTGCTTTCTGGGAGCATAAGGATTTTTATTTATGCTCTTCAGAGCTCCTGTGAACTGTGAGATGAGTATACAGTGCTCCAACTTTACAGTTATATCTGTAGAAATAATTCAGTAGGAATTATCCTTTTTTAGCTTAGCCTAGTTTTTGTTTTGTTGTTTGTTTGTTTTTTTTAATAAGTGGACAATAACATTATGCTGTTAAATGAGTGATTTTGACCCTGAATCTTCTGTGAAGAAGACTGTTTTATTCTTGTGCAGAGATTATTGTCCTCATGTGTTGTACTCTACATATATAAAACCTTGATCACCACATCACAACACTAGGTTGATGAAGCTCTACAGATTTGTACTGTAATTTATTAGTATTCTTTTTAATTTCACATTAAGTTTAGAATACAAACTTTTTTTAAAAAAAGACTTTTATTTATTATTTTTATCCTATTTTGTGCAACTGTGTTAAGAGCTAAGTTTAAGTTGGAAGCTAAAAAGTGTGTTCCAAATGCATTAGTAGAGATGCCATGGTCTCATTCTATTTGTTCTCTTTAAGCATACTTACATGGTAACATGTCGTTACCACAACTCATCCAGAATTAGCCAGGAGGGGTAGGGAGAGAGAAAATTCAGGAAAGTAATGGTGTATGTCAATTCTAGCCCTCTTAACTGTGATAGCCCTACAAACTTTGTTTACAGTTGTTTCACTTTTATTAAATTTAACTAATTAGTTTTCCAACCCAAAGACAGTGAATTCAAGGATCTGGCAAACTGTAACTACCAAGGTCACTGCTGGGAAGACGTTATTTAGTTTTCATTAAAGACAGAACTGTGGGGGGAAATGGAGAGTCAGCCATTGAAGCCGTAGATGTTTTCTGCATGTTCTCAGAAGTGTGTGTTGCTCATCCTATGGAAGGAATGAAATTATTCTTCCTATTAATCACTAGCTGTCACAGAATCATTTCTCATTAAGAAAACTCATGCATTTGTGTGACCTTATGTAAATGCAGAGAGATCATAGCTTTATATACTCCCTGTTAAAATAAATATATATATATCATTAAAAAAAAAAAAAAAAAAAAAAAACCACCCCAAAATAGTGATGTTTGTTATTACTATGGACTGTGAACAGAAGGAAAATGGGAGAGACAGTCCTAGGTGTGGGTAAAAACCTGATATCTGTGCCTACACTGAAGCACATCACCATAGGCAGGGAAGGGACACAGCAGCATTCTGAAAGGGATAAATACCAGTGAGGAACTTAAAGCTCCAAGAAAGAAAAGGGACCATGTTGAGAGGTCAAGTATGGTCGATGCTACTCTCAAATGCATTCAGTAATGAACAATGAGGCAGTAATGAGGATGAGGCAAATATCTACTTGGATGTTTTATGCATCATTAGTTAAGCCAGTGGGTATGGTGACTGAACCAAAATATTCAAGGAAAACAACTAATTTTGGATCAACCCACATTTTTTTCATTTTCTGCCGAGCAAAACAATAAACCAAAAAGAGGGTTGACCAGAAACAAAACATTTTGCCTTCAGTTTATTTAGTCCCTCTTTATTTGTTTTTTGATGGTTAAATTTGAAGTGAAAACTGATAGGTTTGTTCTGAAAATGCTGTAATGAAATGCTTAGTCTTTCCCAAATATACTTGCTTTCTGAATGTTTTTTCTGAAACCACTTATTAAATTTGACCCGATTTCATAAATACTTTTATTCTCCCTTCATGATGTGTTGAACTGGTTAATCACATTTTCCATTGCCAGTATTTTGTTTCCCAGGAACAAAGACCACTCATATTTTCTCCTTTTATCCTCTTATTTGATATGCATACTGTCCAAACCAAAATCCTTGAGTAATTTCCATATTAAAAAATGCTTTCCATAAAACCTCTTCCCTTCACCTTTCCTCCTTGTAGTAGAGCAACAACATGAACCTGGGAAATCAGTGTGGTTAGATTTAAAGATTGGTGCACGAGTGAAAAAGATGAGGTTGAAGAGCTGGGGTTTGTATGTGATCTGGAAAGCAGCAGGTATCTGTCCATCCTTCTTGAGCTTCTTCCTTCAGTGAGCAAATAGGGGAATGCAACTGGTATTAGAGAAGTTACTCCAAGGAAAGGCACAGAGTTTGTGTTCCAAGTCCAAACCCCTGAATTTAAAAGAGAGGGGAATGCCTGTATTGTTCAACTAGTGCAGACAGAATAGCACTAAACCAGATTCTCTACGGTAATGATAGCTGTGGTCTACTGAGTTTAGCAGCAATTTAATTTTTTTCCCCAGGACATTTATATATATATATATATGTTTTGTTCCTTGGTATAGTGAGCTGCAGTAATTAAAGTAACAAATCCACAGACAACCCACAGGCCACTACAGAGTTCCATGGTTTCATGTACAGTCTTTCCAGCTAGTCCCAGATAGGAGGATGAGAAGTATTTTAAAGCCAGGGATAATTTGGACAGCTGCTCTCTATAAAGTCAACAAGAACATGAGTCTATTCGTTTGACGATTGAAAGCCACACATCCCAAATGAGGACAAAAAAAAATATTGCCACTTCAGGTTTTTTTCTGTGAGGACTTTTCCCTCTTTTCAGAAAAATGAGCTCAAACTCGCCTAGACTGAGCTTCAGTTGATTGTTTTGCCACACTGAGCAATCCTGAAGGAGACTGCTAAGTTCAGAGTAAAGAGGATTCCTTGCCCTGCTCCTGCAGTGGTTCTGTGCAGGTGTTTGATAAGACTGAGTCCAGGAACGAGCGGTTTGGGATGCTGCAGCCGAGTGCCCTGGAGGTGGAGGGAAGCTGTCCACTATGACTCAGACACAGATATAGTAGCACAGTTGCCATGTAAATGAATTGAGATAGAAGTATAATGTTTAGTTGCTAATTACATTTAGACTCCTTTGGGGAACCCACCAAGATTTCTATGGATGTACAGTTCCAGCCAGTGAACAGACAGAATTAATCCATTGGTTGTCTCTAACTGGGGACCTAAAAAGAACAATTACTTACACTGCTGTGATTGCCCTTCTTCAAGGTTAAATTCTCCATACAGATTCCACTGGTGTTCTCTGTTCTTCACATGAGATGATTTTTCTTTGAAGAGCAATGAAAGCTATTACATTAGCTAGCCACTTCTTTATTTTTCTAAATTAACAATATTGCTTTTGGTTAATTATAATGATTTTTTTTTCATTAGTGGCATCTTTAGCCCACATAAGCCACATCTTAAAAAAAAAAAGAAAAGAAAAAATTAAATAATAGGAAAATAAAGCTTGGGAAAGACTTCAAAAGGTTTTCTCATCCTAACCCCATTTTCCACCAATGACTTTTCATGTCAGATGTTTATCTAACAAAAACTGTTTGAAAACCCCTCCATACCTTCCCTACATTATTTGTTCTAATGCGTAATTCTTACAATTGTTGCAGCATTTTTCCCAATGACTTGATCTAAATTCCACTGGATGCAATTTAAACCCCTGACTTGCTGTCCGCTGATTGTGCTTGGGGTTTCATACACACTGTCCCTCTAGCTGACATCTTGCCAGAGCTGAGACAGCACAAAGATTTCTCCACTTGTACAGTCAGTTTTCCACAACAGCATGATGCGACTAATTCACATGCAGCTTGTAGTCTCAATATAGACCCTTATCCCCTGGTACAGAAATGTTCCTTAAACTGACATTCTCTAGATTAGGTTAATGAAATCCATTACTTCTATGTAAAAATCCTGCCTTTATGTCCTTCATTTGCTTTTTGTTTTAATTGGTGCACTCGCAAATTTTGTGCATTTAATCAAATACTGTAAAAAAATACAAATTTTTATAAATTGGAAGTAACAAAGTGGATGTACACTACCTGCAATTAAAGTCTTTGGTGTGAAATATTGTATTTTGTTACAATTAGTTCTCTGTTCATTATAGTTTCGAGACACAGAGAAGTACGGGGATGTTTATAGGGACATAATGGATGTGTGGATTCAGGAGAATGATCAGTAGCTGACAATTGAGCAAAAGATGTTTTCTTTAGCTCTTTTGAGCAAGAGGTAGATGAGGAAGGTAGCAGCAATAGTCTCGTTTTACAACCAGATTTTCAAAGAAATCATGCCGTCATTAATGATCTCCAGGCTCTCTCTTCTTTCTTCACATTGTGGCTATGGCAGGTTCCCAGATCAGATCTGATCAGGTGTTTATGTCTCTTAATGCTTTCAGAAGGGGAAAATGGCCTTTCTGGTAAAGTACTGCTGGGGCTACTGCTCTCCTCTCCCCTACGACCAGGGCTGTTCTTGGGAGCGCTCTGTCAGACAGGAACATGCAGCGCTGGTTCCTACACGCTGCGTCCAGCAGCTCACGCACACAGCAGCTGGGTGGGTTCTCAGCAGCAGTCAGCGTGCTGTGTATGTATCCCGTGGGGATCTCCTGTTGGACTGCGCCCTGTGAGGATGAGGCAAATTTAAATCTGTAAAATAGGCTTCTGCATTTCTGGGTAGGCTTTTATGTCAGAGTCAGTTCATATTTTAGGAGAAATATTTTAGGAGAATCTCATGAATACAGAGGTGCCTTTACAGTGGCAGGGAGGCCTTCCTAGCTGTGAATGAAGAATGTCATTTTCATGACCCAGCTCTTTTTCTTTCTAATATATTTTTGTTTTTTCCTTTTAGGTAGAGAGGATTGTGGACAAAAGGAAGAACAAGAAGGGCAAATGGGAATATCTAATCAGGTGGAAAGGCTACGGAAGCAATGAAGACACCTGGGAACCTGAACATCATCTACTACATTGTGAGGAATTTATTGATGAGTTCAATGGACTACATGTTACTAGAGAAAAGCGATCGAGACATGGGAAACAGGCCACTGCTCCAAAATTTTTACGGGAAAGCCGAGGGTCATCTATTGATAAAATACCACACAGACCTTCTGAATCTGGGAAGTCTAAAGGGTCAACGCACAAAAGAAAGAGAATCAATCCATCTCTTCAAAAACAGAAAAGAGGATATGCAGCAAAGCCAGGGTCTGCCAACGACAGGGCTGCTAAAACTGTCACTTACCGAACTACTCCCAGCGGTTTACAGATCATGCCACTGAAAAAGCCACATAATGGTCTGCAGAATGGAGATGGGAGTCATGAAAAAGATTCTAGACATTTTGGGAATGTCTCACAACAGCAAAACATGGATTTAAATGATCATGAAGGAGAACAAAATTTGCCCAGCGTGTTGGAAGTTAGCAACGATTCGCCTGTTGTGAATGGAATTGGTATGTGATTTAAACAACTACAGTCCTGGGGAGGGAGGGGGATGTTAATGGCAGCAACTGCAAACAGAGAGTCCACTTGTGGAGAAACCATTGTCATGCTACACAAGCAATATGGTGAGAAGCACATAAGTTTCACACTCTTTCCCCACATATCATACCATTTTTTATCAGTTGGCTTCTCTCCTTCCCTTTCCCACGGAGCGACGTGCGGCAGTGTGGGCTTTGTTTCCTGCCTGTGCAGCATTAAGTCCTTGTGGGGAAATGATGACAAGGCATGGGATAGGAATGGCAACAGAGGGATGTATAATACTGCAGCTTTAGGTTTGTGTATCACCAGGTAACAATTCACTTCTCAGTTATGTGTGCTCAGCCCTAGTGGTCTAGAAAGACAGGGATTATTTTAGAAACACAGTAAATAACACTCTTGGTGAAGTATCCTGGTTAGTATGGCTGAATAATGTTCAAGTTCCTCAGTATTCAGGAGTACCCAGAACTGCCAAGTCCTTGCCTCTGACAGTGACTGGATACATCAGAAGTCACAAGACACTTTACAGGAAGGTACAGACAGCCTTGGAGAGAGTGAGAAGAAACAGAAGAAATTTCTTTCTAATCCTTATAGTTACTGACTGGTGTAGTTCTCAAAGAGTAAAAGTTTATTTTCTATAGTGAACTATTCAGCTTAATGAAACTAAGTAGCTTCTCATTATCTATATGTGGCAATCTATTGTTTTGGCTTTTTTTTAAGTCATACCAAATTTAAAGCCTCAGTGTTTCTTTGTGGCAGTAATTTCCAGGAGTTAACAATGAGAAGCACATGATATTTAATCAGGGGTTTGGGTTTGGGGTTTTGTTCTGTTGGGTTTTTTTAACCTTTATTTCACTGAAGAAGCTCCTGTCCTTATATGACAAGACAAAGTGGAGGACATCCTGTCACTCAGCAGGCAGCCCCAGCCTTTTCAGCCTTCCTGCCCTCTGGAAGTCTTTCCAGATTCTTGGTAGTTTTCAGTACACTCTTGGGTCTTTGGCAGGGGGCGGAGGGGTGTTAATACCTTTTAAAAACAGCAGGAGCTGTTCCAAATGATTTCCTGCTGCTTACTGATACAGTGGTGATACAACCTTTGCAGAATTATTTTTTCTGCTGTTACACACCACATAAAAGTTTTCATTAAATAATACTCTAAGTTGCTCTTAGAGTTTTGTTCCTTGCTGGTTACAGTTAATTTAGAACACAGCTATATGTTTTATTCTTTTCATTATACATTTACTCTGCTTTTCTGTCACCAGTTCACTTTTTACTTATGACTCAGAGAAGCCCTTCAAAATCTTTCCTAGTTTTCACTCTACTTATTTTGTATTCCCTTTAAATTTTCCTCTCACACTTGTCTTCCCAGTACATTAATACATACATTAAATAAACTAATCCTTCTGCAGGTCCTTGGGGCAGCCAACTACTCATCGTTTGACATGATGAAAAGTAACCATTTGTTCCAATTATTTATTTTTATTAGCCACTTTCTATAGCCCATGATAGCACTCATTTCCTTAACAGCTTCTTGTGAATTGCCCTGCCAAAAACTTTCCAAAAGTCAACATGAATTATATCACCTTGCTTTTCATTTTCCACCCTACTGGCAACCCAGCAAATGCTACTTGATTTGGGAAGAACTGACCTTGCCTAGTCTTACTGGTTACATCCCAAAACTACTGGGACCTTTCAATCCAGGCATCAAGTATTTTGTTAAAGACTCCCAAACCAGCAAAATGTATGGTCAGCTTTAAATGTGTACGTAGCCCAGATGACAGCAATGACACTTCAAGTTGAGGAGTTAGAGACTGCTTAAAAAGTTACCTGCTTCTTTAAAAAGACTTTCATGTCTCATTACAGATGTGTATAAAGTTATTTTTCTTTGCTTTTTTACTGTTTCTAATGAAGTGGTTTTAGACATTTGTTTTATGTTATTCATTGGGGAAGTTCTGGTACAAAATGAATCTTTAAAATGCATTAATTTCCATATTCTAAAATCTTTACATTTTTAATGAAGAACTAAAGGGCCACAAAGAACTGTAAGGTCAAGCAAGCTTTTCATTTGTCCCCACAAGAGCTAAGGAACGGCAGCCACCAGCCCGTTTGAATAATCCCTGTACGAGAGCTCTATTTCAGCAGAAAGCTGCTTTGCCTAAGCAGCCAGGTGTTCTCCCACGTACAGAGGGCTCCTGCCCCGACAGCTGTTGTGCACAGCTCCTTTAGAACTTGTATTGATGATGGTTTTTGCATTCTCCAAAGCCATCACTTCTGCTCTGTAGTTTGCTCTCCTTCCTCCCCTGCATTCTGACCTCCCTGTAGGCAAAAGCAAGAGATCTGAAATCTCTGCCTGCTTCTTGCCTGAAAAACCCATACTCAGCAGCACTCCCAAGGTCAGAGATCCCTCCACTCTTGCTTTGTGATACCCAGCACATGCATAGGGGAGAAAACTACGAAGAGGAGAGATGAGACTACAAAGTAAGAGTAGACAGAAACTGGTGAAGAAGGGTCAAAATAAAAATACTATCTTTTTTCTAATATTGCCCTACAGGCTTGAGAGAAGTCACTTTTCCTGATAGAGGATTTTGCATCATTTACAGTGTTGAATCAAAGAAACTTGCACTACTCTTGAGCAAGTCCAACAATTTACTGAACTCCCTCAGCATCCACACTCAGAGGGAGGTAGCAGAAGATGCCCCTGTGATTCTGCCACGTGTCCGCTTAGCAGCACAAACTCATTTTAATCAGGATAAACAACACACTAAAACTGGTCTGAAATTTTACAAATTACAAATGAAAGTTTTGGAGAAAAATGCCAGTTTGTTGAATAACAGAAATTTTGTGCCAAACATCTTGGGTTTCAAAACTTTCTCCCAATCTGAGCCAAGGTCCCAAGGCTTTGTCCCTGGAGACTGACAGCCATGTGGCAGTTGGCTTGGCAGGGCTCCCACGTGTAGCTTCCAGGCAGCCAGCTATGCCAGAGGTTTCAGGCAGCCTGCCACAGAGTCTGGAAGTTGAAAGCCCAGCATGCCCCATCAGCGCTCGCAGGGCTCCCGGGCACTCTATGGAGAACAAAGGGGGAGCCTGGAGGACCTCTCCTTGGCTCCCAGAAGCTGTGGCTCCTGGGCAGCCCCTTGCAGATTCCGATGAAGCAGACATTTGTGTCAGCTTTGAGATTGCCTATACGGAGCCCAAGTAAGTGCCAGGCTCATTTCACAGCTGAGTGTAACAATGCACAGAAAAGCTATGTAGCAATTTTAAGTTGGCTTTGAGCTGAAGCATAGATTTGGAGAACTCAGAAGTTCCCCATAATTTGAAAACCCAGATGTAGGTCCAGCTCTGCTACTAGTTCTGGTCTGTGGTTGAGGGCTCTAAAACTTGTCAGCTTGAACCACTGTTCTTTCATATTACAATAATGTTTAACTACCAGTGTATTGAACCAAGCAATATAATTAGTAATTTATAAACTATTAACTAATCAAAAAAATATATTTTTTTGTCTTTGGTATACTAGTTCTGTCAAAACAAATAATAGCTACTTGAAAACTAGTTTTTGATGACTCCTTGAATGGACTCCACCAGTCTCTGGTTTTGTGTATGCATCCACCTGGGTACAAGTGTTTCCTGTTCAACCTATACATAAAACTCTCACCAGTAAGATATTTACCCCAGAAAGATGGCTGTATACCTACAGATGTATGCACAAAATCATATATGCACTCTAGTGGAGGCCTGGAACTGAGGCTGAAGCTGGGACAGACGCTTCTACCTTCTACACATCCTGTCCTAAGGAGAGTAGAGTCGTATTTACTGGCAGTTATTTAAGGGTCTGCAAATTGGAAAATGTTGAAAAACTACATGAGAACATCCACTGATGTTCCCAGGAGCCAACGATACCATTCTTTCTGATATTTGTTGTCTTCTGTTACAACATTTCTATTTCTCTCCAGATACTGTAATTGAGAGTGATTGTTTTGTCAAGTTTCTTGACAGGATCAAAAAACATCCCCTTTTAATTTTCTTTCCATTTTCTACATCGCTCTATTTCTGTACCATCTGCTGACGAATTTTTGCTTGTCATGTATCACTAACCACTGTTTTTCTCCATTGCAAAAATCTTTGTAGTCTCATGGTGCCCTTAATTTAAATACTCTCTATGAAGTTAGTCACTGCTTCCTCTTGTTTTTTTAGCTTGTTCTGTTTTATTTATTCTGGAGCAATACTGGCAGTAAAAGACAACCAAATGTGCTTGCTTTCTCAGTTTGGATAAAAACGCATTGCTTTTAGATATCTTACAGATGCTCCCTTAGCTGGAGAAGTCTGAAATTATTAGCAAATTATCAACAGAATGCTGCTTTTTAAGTATGTACAGTATTAACCATTACCCACAAGAAAGACAGAAAGGAGACAGAGAAAGGTTGTTGGGAAGACTGAGGAATGTAAAACTGTTGTTCACTAAATCCCTGAACAGCAGAACTAGGGACCACTCACTGAAACTGGTAGAACTTCAGATAAAAGCACAGATGAAAGAAAATTCTTCTTTATGTAGTGGCTACACAACTTCTCAAACTCATACCACAGGAAGCTGTGGAGAAAGATGGCATCAACAGGCTCAAAAGGAGATGAGAGAAATCTGTGAAAAGGTCCACAAGCAAATACTGAAGGACACAGGAAGGATGAATCCGCTCACATTCCTGTCCAACACTTAGGGATGATACTAGGGGAGAGGATTGCAGAAAGTGGCCAAGCCTGCATCTTCTCCTTAAATAGCATCCTTTCCTGCCATTCATGGAGAAGGATTACTAGATGCATCAGTGATCTTGGAATATCTTAAGTTCTTAAAAAATATTGAAACCTCTTAAGTATCAGTGTGGTTTTAGGTATGCCACAAGTTGTGCTGCTGGTTAAAAACAAGGCCATAATTACATTAAACTCCCACTGAAGGAAGGAATATTTCTTCCTTCTGTTCTCTTTTGCATTTAGACTGAGTGTCAAATACTCTCTACTAAGCCAGTTAACCACACTTAGAGGTACTTAAAGCTTCCTTAGTTAATTTGTGACATCCTTAATTTGTTTCACATGCAGTATAGATTGCTTTGAGAATGTCTCTTTTTTTTCCCCGTGTCACACTCATTTTTCACCTTGACATGCAAGGTTCTGTTTGTTACCCCCGTGTGCACCAAGTGAGTGCTAACAATTAACCCTCAGCAGAGACAGTCTGGATCCTTCAGTGGCTCTGGGGCAAACCTTCAGTAGCACCACCAAGTCCAGGCAGCAGACATGTTAAATTGGCCTGCTCTCACAGAAGTGTTGTCTTTAGATTTTGTTGATCATTTTCTCCACTTTATCAGATTAAACAAGATTACAGGAATGCAGTGTATACACTGAAACAACAATTTAATCACTATAAGTTGTTCTCTTCTTGGAAATTACACTTTTCCACATACATTTCTTTTATATTTAATTTAGATTTTACCTTCTGGTTCAGTTTCTATCAGTTGGTGTGCAGCTTGTTAAAATATTATGATAAGACCTATAGTTTCTTACATCATATATTTAATTTACAAACTGAATACATTACTCAAAGAAGAATATGATAAAATATTAAAATAAAGTTATTACTGTGAGGCTTTTTGTTGAGCTGGATTATCTGTGTGAATTAATCTACTATTCTCTTACTGTCTGTATTTAAAATAGACGTGGCATAATCTTCAGCTCTAGGTAGATAATCAGTACAGTTAGTCTGACACATCTTCCATTCAGTGTTCATTTGTGCCTCTGATTTTATAAGTGCTTCACACTTTTATGGGAGATTTAACTCTTCACATCCTAGTAGCTTATTGATGGGTCAAGCAATATAGTGAGGACTGAATAGATAAAAATGCAATACTTAAAATTCTGCCTTCAGTCAAATAATTAATTTGTTTCAGTGTATTATTCCCAATGATATTAGTTTTACAGTAGCAATTTCTCAAGTTGATTTTTGTTTGTAATAGTACTTTTCAAAATACATACAGTAGGAAAACCTTATGAAAAAGAAGAAACAAGCTGTAAGAAAATATTAGTATTTTTTTTAATTCAAGCACACGGTGATTTCTAAACTTGGTGATAATTAGGAATTCCAAATTCTGCTGGCTTCAAATGATTTTTTTCAAATTGATGATCTAATGTAATTCAGTATAATGTACACGATACTTCAGATGGTATCTCTTAATTTAACAATCAAAAAGTGTTTTATCATTGACTGAAATAGCAAACATTTTAACAAAGATGCATTTCTGTGTGTAGATACTTATGCATACACATACACATGCTACATGATGAGGCCAAATGATGCACCAACTAAATGCTATCAAGCACTCTATATATTTTAACATCCCATATTGTATCTGCAGTGTAAATACAGGCACATAACTTGCTGTGAACAGGCCCTTGCCAACTGTGAGGCATCAGACAGCTCAGTTACCTACAGAAGCACCAAGCTGAAACATAACTAGTCCAAAATGAGGGGAAGAGATTGAGATTGAGAGAGTAATCTGTTATGAATTCACCATTCAATTTCATTCCAACAGAGTTTTTTTAATTGGATAGTGGTCATTTAAACAATAACATTTAAATCTATACTCTCATATTCATGTCATCCACCCTTTAAAATTTCCTGGCTACTTGATACCAGAAGCTGGAGGAGGTCAGCTTTGGCAAGAGGAAAGAATGGCACAAACAAAGGTGTTTTCATTCCACTCTTTCTTGGCCTTTCATAAATATTGTTGGCTTGTCTATTTAAACAAAAACAGATTTGGAAACTGTTTCAATGAGCAGAGTGACTTTATTCTGTTCCTCAACAACCTGCTTCTGCTACACTTCTTATGGCAGTAGTGTGAAACATCGGTCATTAGAAAAGCAGAGTATTGCATAAAAATCTTGTAAAGATATTTGCAACATTCCAGCCTAGTTACCAATCATAATATAATGTCTATTACAGAGGAACCATAAGCCTAAGCAGAGTAATAGTTTACAGTTCATAGACAGTGTAAGTCAGTAAGTTTTTTAAATTGCCCTACTGTTACTCTCGTTTGTTTATAAGGAGGAACTGTATCTTTTTTGTCATAGTTCCTTTTTTTCCTACTGCCAGATACCATCCAAAATGGCACCAGCATCCATACTTTCTATGTGCAAAATCCAGTAAAAATATCATACCTGTTAGTGAAAACTCTTTCATTATTGTTACTGTAAAATGTAATGACCAGAAACGTGGGATCAGAGCAAAGAGGACACCTAACAGCTACTTCTGACACTAACCACAGGGGTACGTGGACATGTTGCTGGTTGTGTCAGCTTAGTAAGAAGTCCCCTAACTTACTGTCCCATAGAGATGTGCCCCAAGTTTGCACTGAGATTGTCACTTGAAACTGATTATGACTTTTGGGTCACCATAAAAGGGAGAAAATGTAACTTCGAAAGATGGGATTTGGACTAAACCTGTCATGTCAGGTTTTTCCAAAGCTGAATTAGAATCTTCCTGTGAACTCAGGAATCACCTCAAATTTATATTGAAGAACTGTGATACAATTGCTTTCATCTTCAAAGCAGAACTGAATCCTAGTAAGATTACCAGTCCTATGTGCTACAGTTCACTGGATCTAGAGGTGGTCTGATCAGAGAACAGAAAGCACTGGATGTTGGAGTGTAGAATAATAAGAATGGCTTGAGGCCACATTTGACTAGCCAGGCATATTTTTGACTTACCAACTTTATCATGTAGAGGCTGGTGTAGATACTGAGCTATGTTTAAGGCAATAGAAAGCATCACCCCATTTCTTTGAAGGTACAAACATAATTACACTTTGATCCTTTCTATCTGAAGGTTCTTCCCTGGCCAATGGAAGCTTGAATCTACACAGCACTGTGAAAAGGAAACTAGATGGGGAGAAAGATTATGTCTTTGATAAGAGACTGAGATACAGCGTGCGTCAGAACGAAAGCAATTGCCGGTTCAGGGACATTGTAGTCCGGAAAGAAGATGGTTTCACACATATTTTGCTGTCGAGTCAGACTTCAGATAACAATGCACTGACCCCAGAGGTAAGCACGTAGCCATAAAAGCCAAGGGAAGCCATCATAACGCATGGGTTATCTTGGAAACGCTGCGCTTGACCTGGATTTTATGGGTTTTTTCCCTAATTGATTGTCTTAGGAAAGAAAGAAATATGGAGTTCAGACAAATCTAACTTTTCATGCTTGGGATTCCTACCAAAAACAATTCAATGGAAATTAATTTTTAATTTAAGTGTCTGAAACTGAAAATTAGAAGTAAAGAAAGGAATGGTAGAATCAGTATTTCCAGCATGGAGTTGTGTGAAGCAGTTTTTCACATGTTGAACTTACTGATATTTGACTACCAGGGAGAAATCTGGTCTTTTTTTTTTTTAATTTAAATATGCTCCAGTTGTTGCATATGGAGAACTTCAGATTATATCCTGAGACAGTAATTCTAAAAGTGTATCTTGATCCCTAAGTGCTTTTTCTCTGAATCACTTTATGAGTCCTTATTTATGAAGCGTTAACCAATTAAGGGCTCTACTCTCAGCTGAATTGCCCAAAGTTGTACAACATATACAAGATATTAATGAATTCCCTTGTTCTAAATATTATACACTTAAGGTCAGACTTGGACTTGTAGCTTGTCCTTCTCCAATACTTCTCCAATACACTGGAAGGGCTGAGAAGCTTTTCCTTCCATTCCCTGTGATCCCAGCATAGTGGGCAGCGATGCCCTCGTCTGCCTTTGCCATGTCAGAACAAAAGGGGCGTCTATAAATGCAGGATGCATGTCCTGCAGAGCAGAGAACATGCTTGAGCCCTGTTCATGTGGGCAGTAGTGGCCTGATGGAAAGGGGTTACCATAGATGAAAGAGGAAACAACAGGAGCTGCCTCCCAGCACCAGTGTTGCCTGTCTGAGCGTTCTTCAGGCAGAGTTCCTCCACGAGCTGCCCGCAGTGTGGCACATCTCTCTTCTCTGCCCTCCAGACATGGCAGTGCTCTTCTGTCTTACACAGTAACTTCAAGATAAGATCAGTTTGAGCACCATCTGAGGCAAAAGTAGATTGTAGCTTTGAGGGACTCTTCAGTAAGAAACTGAATAGCTTTGAAATTAATTACTTAGAATGAACTTCGGATAAAACTACTGGCAGGTATGATGGACCCTAAATTTGATTCCCCTTCCCAAATGTACACCTACACATGGATATTAATACACAGCATGATACTAAATAGTTAAAACTGATAGCACACACATTTATAACTCCTAAGTTCTAAACTATGTAATATTTAAAAGGACTGTCTTGGTAATGAACATAGAACACCAAACACCTGCTTCTAATACTCCTTAAAATACACTCAATAACATCAAATCCATCATTCCATCTATATATTAATTGCCACTAATTGAAACTGCAGATAATTTAAACAAATAGCTCAAGGGCCCGAAAAAGTATGAAATTAAGGACTTACTATGTTCAGGCTGAAGAGACACCTTTACGTCGCTGGCTGTGCTGTTCCTCATCAGCAGTGTTCAAATGCTCTCACCAGTGAATTAATTTGGGCTCTTCGGGTCTGCCAAACCAATCCATTTGATTCTTTGAAAACTTTTGATAGGCCAGGAACCCACCTCTGTGGAAGAATAAATGATAAGCATATAATAGTCCTCTTTTGTATCACCAGCATAGACTATTTCCAGAACCCTTATTGAAGCTCACTTGAAAACCAGGAAATACATTTTAGAAAACTGCATTACTGACCAGGATCTGGATGGTCAGGAATTAATCAAGGTAATGAGTTCACCACATTGAGATTGTCTGTTTAAAGCCCATCCAGGCTGAGGGCTTTTGAAAGCTCTTGCCCTCTGAAGGCTGCTTGCTGGCACACACAAAAAGACTTCTTTGGCCTCTGTCCAGGCTGCAGCCCGTGATCATTCACACCACAAAATCCAGCACCTCCAATACTGGCAATTCCACATCCTTGCTGGCAATTAGAGCAAAAATGCAAGGAACTGACAGGAGGAATACGTTCAATGCCTTGTCCTTGCAGTTTGTCACCCGTAGCCATAGACAAGACAAATTGAGAGAGCATTTTAGGGACATTTACAGCATCTTCCATTTTGATGCCTTTTATCACCTATGAAAAGAAAGACAAATACAAACACAAAATTCTTACGAAATGAAGAAAGTGTGATTCATTTTGTCCAAAGAAACTCTAGCTTCAGGTTCTATTAGACATTCAGTAAATTATGTTTGCCAAATAGTAAATGATTAATTTACTCAGAGCAGGTCTGCCTGGTGTGGTTACAGTAGTGGTCTGGTTATCCTTGGCCATCTACAGTAGGAAAAAAAGGAAAGGTGTGCACTGCCCACAACCATTATAAAATTAAGCTTATACAAAATCACTCTCACCCCTAAACAGCCCTGCTTCCCTTTGTGCTTTATCTTAATCTTCAGATGAAATTTAATAGTTTTCTTCAACCATTGGCCTCTGCTATTTATGCCAATGTAATTACAATAGCCATGAACTTACTTATTTAAAAAAAAAAAAAGCTTACAGAAGTCTACCTGCATACCTGCACCTTCCTCCTATGTTTTTGGTAACCACAGCACACCTGTGGGTTTTTGCAGGTGACTTTAGCATGGAATGTGCCAATGCTCCTTCCAGCAGCATTTGTACTGATTGAAGTTGGCTCAGTGCCACACTAGTAATTGAGTTTTTTCTACAGAAAAGTTCAGGAGACTATAGAAATTCTTTCTTATGTTTTACAAGACCTTATAAAACTTCCAAGCCAGTGTCATGAAACAGCACAGCTTGGTTTTATTTCAGTGGCTTAGGCTTGCTACTTTTAAAATTTGTTTTTAAAAGAGAAATGTAAAATATTTCATCATTATAAATTCCATTCGGGCATTTTCTCTCATGGGTCTTTTGCTGCTTCTGAAATTCTTTCTCCAAAGATGATGTTGCTGTTTTATCTCAGTGCATTTCAAGGATCCAAATTCTGTTTTAAACTTAAGATTAAAAGGATCTATCCACTGGTTTTAGTTTACACTATTAATAGAACTAGGAATTAATATTGCCCTGAATTAAAAGCAAAGCATAGCCTCACCAGCTAATGTTTCCATTGAAGACTGACAGAACTACCTCAAGGACACTCCTCAAACAAAAGAATCAGTTTTCAAATTTCTAGTCACGGGAATGACAAGGTCCAAGTTCTACCAGGAGCCTTTTGGAGCACTGGTTTGCCTTCACTTCCCTTCCTTACAACTTCTCCTGACTGTAAAATTTAAAAAAAAAAAAAAAAAAAAAAAAAAGAATGTATAAGTTTACTGTTATCTGTATTTCTGCTGCCAAAGACAAGACAAGATGGCTTTTCAGCCAGTACTTTTGCCTGAAGGTAGCCTTGTAGGTGCTCGAGTCCTTTACTTATCCAACAGAAAGGACTCAGAATCTGCTTGCAAAAAAAGTCAGTATTGAAAAGTGTAAAATTTATGTAAGAAGTTACAAGTGTGGAAGAGGTTCTAAGAACAACTGAGTGGCTTTTAAAATTTTGTTTTACTGTAATATTTACAGAATATTTACCTTTAAGAATATCAACAGTGAATCCTTGGAGACTGAGAGAAGTCAACTTTTTAAACTAGCATTTGTATGAACAAGAGACTTCTGTTCAAGGTAGTTTGTGTAATCACCATGATAAATTCCCCAGAATGTAAGCAGTGCTGAAAGCAAAGGGCACCAAATGCCTTTTAAAATTTCCAGTATCCTATGAAAGGCATTAAAATAAGCTCTTAGAAGTTTAATGGAGTTTTAAAACATTTTATATTTATTTGCAACATAAGGTGTCCTGTTAAATAACTAACAAACAGGCCTATCTTCTTGACAGGAATAAAAAAATAAGCAACTTTTGAGAAAGTGATAATTTTATTATATATTTGGGGTTCAATAAAACAGTAAGTGAAGCATTAGGCCTGCTCTACATTTGTAAGTTAATAGATTATCATAAACTAAGTAACTGGCCTGCACTGTTTTGTAAATGCTTCCTCAGAAATTTTAGTCAAATGCATTTGAATAGAAATACTGTCCCCAGCTGAAAATGAACTAAAAGACCATAAAAAAAAAAAAGCTAATTTAAAAAAGCATGGAAGTGGAGAATACTGCTTTGGAGCCCTGCAAATAGTAAGATAAGATCCAATCTGCTAGAGAAAGTAAAAATCCACTGGACAAATGCCATAGTTATACCAAAATGGGGGAAGATGTCTGGACTATGGAAGAGAGAAAAAGAATGCGGCATCTGACAAAGAAATGCAACTGAAGACACCTAGCATCTCTGTATTTGCAAACTGAATCCATGACCCCATTAAGTGGAAATTTGTGCTTAAAACCAGACAGCACTTCTGAACTAAAATTATGTTTATGGTACTGCTGTTTAATAGACAGTTCTGCAACCCTACGGACAAAACGTCTGTTTCATCTTGATTTTGCTGTTAGAAACTTTCCTATAGCACTGTAGATGTGCAGGGAAATGCCCATAGCCAGGTAGCCAAGGAGGAAGGCCATGGCAGCAGGTGGGCTGTGACCAGGCTCAGTGACAAGGCGCCCGGGTGAATTTGGGACTGCACCCGGGAGGGAACCATGGCATAGAGCAAGGGAGTGAGAATTGACTTTGCTGGCACTGGTGTATTCCAATGAGCCTCCAAGTACCTTTTGATGATAAAGTTAATGACAGACTTACAGATATTTTTAAAAAAATACATTGGGGTGCCTGCAAACACATTATGGTTTCTGGTTTCTGATCCTGCTTGTTTTTGCTAGAAGCCAGTGGAGCAGTGGAACTAAATTTCCACTCCTGCTCAAAAATACTATGCAAAATACAGCCAAAACCTTCCCTTCTTCAAGTATATCTGAGAAATCAGTTCCTAATAACAGACCTTTAATATCACCCTCTCCAAAACACTGGAAAAAAAGTGTAGTAGCAAAATGTTGGGTTTCCTCTAAGTAGTATAACCTTTGCTCAGAAGTTCGGTTTACTTTTAGATGGCCTTAGCCATCCACATCCCTGAGGGGCAAGATAAAAAAGAGACAGGTTTGCAGTGGTAACAATGGGTTTGAAGGATAGCAGTGGTAACATCAAAGGGATGGAACATAAGCAAATATCACTGGAGGAAGGGGAGTGGTAAAAGAACTTGCTGCATGAAGTATCCTATAGTGGCATCGTATTTAAAGCAACACTACTTATTGTATACAAAAATGTTTGACTGCTATTCTCTGATATCATTTATACATCCTCCCTCAGAAAGAACAGACTTTGAGAGCGTTTAGAATAAACTAAGAGGACAATCTTGTACTCTGTGGAACTAGGAAAATCAAAATATGTATCTTTTTTAATTCAAACATCTACCACCTTCTAAAGTTTCTTTTTAGCATTGAACAGAGGTCTTAGGTGGCTTTTTCCTCCATTTCCCCTTTACAAAATGTGCAGGTTTACCATCTTTTTACAACTGAGGGCTGAGATGAACCTCTGAGGCTCAGAGAATAAACGGTACTTGTAAAATCACTGACATTTTTGTACCTGCACAAGAATTTCAGATACACTTCCAAATTCTGCTGCTTTTCATTGCTTCACTTCTACCCACTGTCACATACAGGCACTCTGAAGTGCACTTGTAAAAGTGAAGCATCTAGAAGTTCCCCACTGGCTTTCTCATGCCCCGCTCTCAGCAGCCAGTAAAAATCATTTTCATCCAACCACGTATGGAGAGCAGGCAGGTAGCATTGCACTGCATGGTTTGAATACACAAGCTCAAGCCTGGTCTCACAAGCCACAGGATTTCTAATAAAATGCTAATTAGAATGATATAAACAAAACTTCTGTTCTTCATGTAAGAACATTGAATAAATCAGGCACTTCAGAGAACTAAAGAATTTTTGGAAACAACATAGTGAACGAAAATAATCACAAGCTAAAATATTGGCTTTCTGTCATGTGGAAACCATATTTAATCCCTCAACTGCATTTTACTATCATTTACCTAAATTTACACTTTACAGCAAACTTTTCTAACAGAAAAACAGAAAAAATAAATTACTCAGCAGGGCCCTAGGATGCCCCAGTCTATAGGGACTACTTTGACATGAGTAGGTTTAAGCATAGGAGGTGTCACACTTGATGAAATCACAGCCCTTGAAGTGAGGTGCAAATCACTAAAGAGAAGAGGGGAATCTTCGGGCTGAAATCAATTACAGCTTACAAACTGCCCTCAACTGTGACCCAACAAGAAGCTACCCATCAGAAATTTATGAGAAAAATATTTCCTTTTAAAAAGCATTAGAGAAACAATTCTGCTCAGACGAAAGGCCATTTTCTTACAATAACGGCAGCTCTATGCTGCACAGATTTTGATCACATTTGATTTATGGTGCAATTAATAGTTTGATCCAGTTGCAAATCAGAGTATAAAAATAGCTCTCTTTCAAGTGGCTTTTTGCTCTAACTTTTGTAGACTTCAACAATATCACTGACCGCAGAAAAGTGAATACTCTATTTGTCATGTTGATGTGTATGATGTCCTCTTGTCCTGCCTTGCTCTGGTTCGAGTTATATAAAAAAAAATAGTTGAAAAACTGTAAAACTGGGATTTATAGATTTTGCTTACAACCTGTTGAGGTTAATAGGCTACTGCTGTGATAACTGTGTTCTCGAGGATACAGTGATGTACGCTGAATATCCGTGATGAAAATAAAAACCTGATATTTGAAACAATTAAATTTGAATCAAATAGCATAACCTGGCCAGAATTTCCCATAGGATAAGCAAAGAACAGCCAATTTCTAAAACCTTTTTGAATTAGGTTGAATTTGAACAAAGCACGTCCAAATCTAAAACTCTCTGTGTTGTCATTCTAAGTATATTAAAATTCTATTAATATTATAATTGATGTTAGTCTTAATAGTGCCCAAAATGTCTCTCAAAATCAATGAGGTTTGTAAAACTAGGGGAATGATATTGCAACGGCATGCATGTCGAATTGTTTACTTTTCTTTATCCACAGATCATGAAGGAAGTTCGGAGAGCATTGTGCAATGCATCAGCTGATGACAGTAAACTCTTACTTCTCAGCGCAGTGGGAAGTGTATTCTGTAGTGGCCTAGATTACTCATATTTAATTGGCAGGTTATCCAATGACAGAAGAAAGGAAAGCACTAGGATTGCAGAAGCTATAAGGTGACCCAAGCTTACCTATGATCTCTAAATTATGAAATGCAGTGTGTGATTATAAAGATATTTATCAGGTCCAAAAATGTTGTATATTTAAGTGTTGATTGCATTCTAATTATAGTCTTACAAATTTGTTTAGTAAGAAGAACCTTGGACCTTTCCTTACTAGAAAAGAAAGCACATTTATTCCAGTGCTAATATCCATAGGGATTTGTTGTAATCCACTTCTCTGGTTTTAATATTTCAAATCATCCCTCCAAATTCAAATACAACTTTGTCGTTGTTTTTTCCAAATTAGCTGTTGCTTCATGTTCTAAAGTGGTTCCTGAAAGACAGATATTTTACCTGTTTTAATGTTCATCATTTTCATGAATTTCACTACAAATGGGAATCCATGGCTTACTCATACACTCTTGAACGGGCAGTCTGCCGCTCTGTTTCAGAACCTTATTAGAAGGGCCTCCACTCTTTTTCTTAAACTTAAATTACTTAATATATATGTAAATGTAGTTTTATTTTCATAACTAAAATGTGACTTTGCTTATATAGATCACATTACCTTAATAGAAATCCAGGGTCTGTGACATGCAGGCCACAAGTCTAGCTGCACAATACATCACCAAGTACTGCCATTACCCACAAGGTTATATACCTTAAACATATTTGGCAGATCTTCCAGTATAAATCAACGTTACTCCACTAAAGCCAGTGGTATTTCACCAGTCTAACAGAAAAGGGTTTAGTCCCTTTTTGGGGGTTTTCCCCCCACCTTCCTGCAGATAAAACTTATTCTGAGAGCTTTGAAACTTTATGCTGCAATTCCATGAAGGAATACCAAAAAAATTGATTTATGACAGATGTATATTTTGGATATATTAGTATAATGTAAGATCAGATTTAGCTATTAAATTTTATGTATTAACCACCAATTATCTTGGTCACAACAACTGCAGGTCAGTTTGGAATCTCAGTTTAATACTTTTTTAATTCTCAAAGTAGTAGTTACTTTGAAAGTATTTAAAGTGTATTTATTAAATACAATAAATTATTACATGTTTTTAAGACCCTAACTATGCTTGAATATCATGTAGTGATATTTAAAAAAACGCTTTGAAGGACACATCCTAATTTCTTTTACTTTTTTTAATGTGAGGGATATTTAATAATGTGGAACCAAAAAACAATCATGAGGGAAGAAAATTCGTGTTTGAAAACACAGGCACACTCACACTCCATTAGAAGATACAAATTTAATATGAGTCATGTAAATCTTGTGTAGACAGGGATTGTTATGTAGGTATATACTTACCTACCTACAGTACAATATATAGGTATACTTATCAGTTCAACATTTAAATGAGTGTAAGGCAGATCTGATACTCAGTTTTTCCATCCTCGGACTCGCAGAACTCTCCTGAAATGCTGGTACAATGTGCTGCTCCTTGTCAAGAGTGTCGGCTCCAGGCCCACTGGAAATAGATTTTTATTGTACTTCTGGAAACAATGTGCTACGTTTTCCATTTAGCACTCTCTGTGCTTTCTGTGAACAAAGGACTCAACTCGTGGAAAATATACTGTAATAAGGACAGAAAGAATTGTACACTTTGCTTTTTCAGTGGTTAGGACGTCCTGAAACGCATTAATGAATCTTTGCCTCCACTGCTTTGCAAGTCAAACTTGTATCAAAATGAAGTTAAAATCTTGATTACTGTTTCCACTTTCTAAAGTATGGATCTTGTATACGGATCACCAGTTAAAAGTGAAGTTTCAATACCCATCAAGTCTTCTCTTGGGAATGGTGTATTCATTTGGGCCCCACTCTCACCCACAGCCTTGGAGCTTGCAACTCACAGCTGTGTGGCCCTGTAGCTTGTCTCCAGGTCCTGAACACGGACCCTTCAGCAAGAGCTGCCATCATCCAGACGTGTGACTGGCCTTGCACTCCTGGAGCAGGGGACAGGCAGACATGGGGCTGTGCTATGTGGCCTACAGAGCCCTACCATCGAAAGGCTCACGGGAAGGTAGTGCCAGCATCAGACTCGTGGCATCAACTGGGCACCGTTATGTGACCTGACAGATAAAATTCTGGGTGTGCTCAGAAGAAAATAAAGAAGGATGACTTTACTTGCTCAACCTCTCTGTAGCCTTTGATGTACTTATGAGCCCTGACCTGCAAAAAGACCTCTGCAACGACACAGAGGTATCTGAGTGTCCCCAAGTGTATTCGACGGTCAACTTCCCAGAACCAAAAACCTTCTGCACGTGACACTTTTTCCTGTCTTTGAGCTTCTGGCTCTACTGTGCAACAGTGGTTACAATTTTAAGTCCTTTTCAAAAACTGCTTTGAAAAAAGCATCTTCTTGCCCAGAAACTATAGGTGTGAGCTTCTGCTTCAGAGCCATGGAAACATGCCAGGTGCTGGGCACAAAGACAGATCGTCGGAACAAATAACATACCAGAGAGGGGACACAGATAAGTGGAGTGCTGGACCCTGCAGCTCCTGAAGACCAAATGCAGGCATGTGTTCCCCTCACAAGCTCCCAGTATTTTAGCCTTCCACTCCATCCTATAGGTGGCATGTTGCATACCCATCCATTGTACCATCCTCTGTGCTCCCCATCCTTCCTTCATAAGAGATGCTCATTGTGTCTTCTCAATGTTCTGTTCCTGTCTCTCCCCACCTCTAGATCCTCCCTTCCCTGCTCGCTCATATGAAATTTTCACATTGCATTCAACCCTTCCCCTCCATTAATGTGTTTTGCTTTGTCCTTCTCCCCCATCATCTAACCTTTTCCTCTCCACATCCATAATTGCTTTTCCATATTCACTTCCAGCCCCATTTATCACCACATGCTTCCTGCTTTTCTCCACAACACCGTTTTCTTCTGCCTCCACATGGTCCTCAGATCTGCTGCCACTGTTTATCCATAGTTTGTTCTTTTCAACTGTCATTGGTCGCATCCCAGTTCCCATCTGTAGTCTTACTCTTGGAAGGCTTACTTGCTACTTGCTACTAAGGTTCTCAAAATTCTGTAATTAATCAGGTGCAGTGATCCACAGTCATTAATCAGCCATGAACAACCAAAGAAATAATGAGATAAGGGAAGAGCATGGCTTCTGCAAACAGCAAATGAACCACAACTCTCCTTAGCCCTGCTATCCTCTAGAAAGAAATGGTCTTGAACAGGCAAATAGGATGTTCCTTACTTCACTCTTTGTCTCGCTGCTGATCTTGTTCTATTACTCACTGTGTGGACAGAGCTGCATCAATTCCCACAAGTCTGTTTTCCCATGGTCAAAAATCAGCTCCTCACTAGACAGCCTAAAAACCAGAACTCATTCATTGGACATTTAATGGTGGGTCACCTCAGACTCCTTGTTTTCTTTTTAATTATAGCAAATGCCCTTGCACTTCAGTCTAATAAAATATTATCTTTGATATCTTTTCCATTTTTTTGCCAAATTGGCACTGTAACCTCCAAGACAAACCTCCTGTCCTCAGATACAGAGGTCTAGGTCTTTTTGGTCTCAGTGGGAGAGCTGCAACTCATCAAAGGGTTCTCTAAAATCTGTCAGCAAAGAAGCATTCCCAATCTAAGAAATACCAGTGCAGGAACAGAATCTACTCTTTTGTTTTGAATTTGATTTATACTTGTCTCTTTTCTAAAATAACTGAGCATCTTGTTTGCCTCCATATACCTGCTGTGCACTGAGCTGCTGGAGCCCATAATTTGCCCACAATTACACTCATGCTTTTTCCTAATTGGTGTATAGGCTGTTCCATTCAACAGATGTCTTTCCACAGTTGCTAGTAGGTAACTTAATTAAAATATCTCCTCATTGCACAGAATTTTCCATGTTCTGGTTCATCCACCCGTCATTTCCTGTCACTTCACATCTCCTGTTGCAGGCAGGCAAGGGCATCTACTTTGTTATGACTTTGCCAAAGACATTTGCAATGATGGCCCAACAGATTGATCACCTAATTCTTTCCCTGTTCAAACATTTCTCCCACTCTCTGACTCCCCTTTGTGGGTCTTACTTTTTCCACTGATGTGCCATAAACATTTACTGTCTCTCAGTCCATTGATGGGACTTGCAGTAACCTTTGACAACTAGTTGATCTTAAGAGAACTTTTGGAAAAGAATAAATATTCAGCAATCCACCTATGAGTTTCCTGTCTTTCACACCATAATATGTTCATCAACTCAGCCAAACCAGTTCATCAGAATCCAGACTGGCCATCGTGGAGCAGACTGAGGAGCACTATGTGTACAAACTCATGAGTTACTGGTCCAGAAGTAAAACTAAACCTAACCAAGCCATTCTGCAAAAACCACAACAGTCAGTGCATTCTAATTAATCAGTTCATATACAACATATACAAAACTATTTAATATCCCAGGTGCTCAGAAAGATTAAATAACTAAATATGAGCAAAATTTTCCATGCGTAAACTCGAAAGTATCTTGCAATTCTGACCTCATAAAACTGGGCCATGTCATTTATTGTGTTCATCTGTGGTTCTAATTTGTTTTCAGATTAAGTACTTTAAGCTTGGGTATTTATCTAAGTGTTACCTCTGTATTCAAGACCTTTCTTTTATTTTTTTTTATTTTAGGGACTTTGTAAAAGCTTTTATTCAATTTAAGAAGCCAATTGTGGTTGCTATCAACGGCCCTGCTCTTGGGCTAGGAGCCTCTATTTTACCCCTGTGTGATATCGTGTGGGCCAGTGAGAAGGCGTGGTTTCAGACTCCATACGCAACAATCCGACTCACCCCGGCCGGCTGCTCCTCATACACATTCCCACAGATTCTGGGGGTTGCACTGGTAAGGTTTCCTGCCTCAGACTGCTGAAGAACCTTTCCTAAAAAACTTCCTTCTCTCTTTGAAAAGTCAAACAGAAAACTGCTGTGTCCCTTAATTGTCAGGAATGGAAATGCAATCTGTGGAAAGGTCATCTAATCCCTGCCAATATCTTATCACAAAATGACCTCAGAATTCAATGTATTATAAGTGCTGTACACAAGAGAGATTGAAGACGGGGTGAAAAAGCAAAGATTGCCAAGATCATGGTAGAAAAGAGAAGAAATGCATTAGCAGAACAATGCTGCAGAGTATTTGTGCTGTTAGGATAGTGCAGCAACAGAGCAAGACACTGCTCTCTGCTCCCTGAAGACAATCCACACTAATTCCAGCAAGGTTGCTGAGTTTTTGTCAGTATACCAAAGCAGAACTTGCCCCACAGAGTATTTCATACTGGGTTCCATGACACTTGGCACAGTATCACTGACAGTTACTCTTGTAAAATCAGCAACACAGATTCAGCCTGCATGCCAGCACTTTTCTCTCAAACGAAACCCAAGCTTTGCTTGCTCTGGCCACCTGCACACGCCTTAAATAGCTACTGAAACTCCTTTTAAAGTATTTTGCAATATGGAAAGATACAGGCGACCATTTGTAAATTTAATCTTAAAAATAGCAGGCAAGTATGGAAGATATTGTAAGGGCAGTATAACCCAAGATCACAAGCAATCTTTTGGTTTCACAGGCAAATGAAATGTTGTTCTGTGGGAGAAAGCTGACAGCACAGGAAGCCTGCAGCAGAGGACTAGTGTCACAAGTATTTTGGCCAACAACATTTAGCCAAGAAGTGATGCTACGAGTGAAAGAGATGGCATCCTGCAGTGCAGTGGTAAGAAATCAAACTCCTTTGTGGTTACACTTCACAGAGGTAAGGTGTCCTCCCAGGGCTCATCACATGGAGGGTCCTCAGTTTCCACAACTCTACCTGTGAAAGAAGGTGAACTGAAAGTCTGCGTAGGGATCAGTGAGCTCGTGGATTGTAAAGATGGGGAAAGGAAATAACCATTATTCAGAGGCAGGGTTATTTCCCCATCTTTGCATTTATTCAATATGAGTGGAACCTCCTTGCCCTAGATTTTGGAGGGGGATTTTAGCATAGGTTGCCTTGATGAATGTGGTAGAGTCTGAAAGTGTACAACTGTACTGGGAAATCTCTGTAGACCCAGTAAGAAAATATATTTGCCTTTCACATTGTCCTGGCCTACTACGTTTCAGCTGAGTCTGCCTTCTTTTCTGCACCTGCATTGTTCCTGATTCTGCAAAACATTCTACACGGTGCACCAGAAGGGTAGGACAGTGCCAGATAACCTCTGCTGTGAAGGAAAGGGGAGACCCAGACACAGAGGGATTTAAACAGAGTCTGATCACAGTGTATTATAACTTTCCTTATGTGTACATAGAAGTTGAAAGAAAGTCCCTTCCTATTTTTACTTCCTGAGGTTTTTTTTCCCTTCAGGCAGATATAGTCCTAGTCTGGCTGCATACTTGTTTAAAAGACATGCAGTGAAGAAAGTGATACTGGCTGCAATAAAACTGCACTAACTGAAGTGCAAATTGTTGCAGTTTCTTGCTAGACTTCCTGTGCCTGCAACTGTCTTAGCATCCCTCAGTTTCATTTAAAAGATCAATCATAAAAGTGAAGGTAGAGACACGGGAGATTTTTAATTAAATAAACTGTAGATTAGATCTCACAAAAGACATTCAGAATGAAACTCTCTGGAAATGTAGCATAAGCTTATTTGATCATGTTGATATAACGTGTGTTATATGAGTTGGGAAGACCTCTGGGCCTTATTGTGAATTTTTCCTTCCTTCACTGTTATCAGCTGTCAATTAAATTTTCTCTTGAGACCTGTTAGAAAAAGACTGGTGCTAACTTGTGGGCAAAGATGAGAGTTAAAACTGTCAGTGGCTAGATTTACTCCCTGAGATCCTAAATGCAAATCAGGCTGAAGTCACAAAAACAATGAACACGATGAGCTCATCCAAGCTCACTGTGGATACTTGCTTACAAACAGACAAAAAAAAAATACACAGGCCCCACAATTTGCAGTTAACACCATTTACTTGTGTTGAAGAGAAATACTATTTTGGAATAGCAATGTTGTAACCTAAACCAGATAGATACTGAGCTTAACACGTAGGTGTCTGCAAACCTGAGTAGAGGGTAAGCATCTTCCTTACTTTGTATTAGTTTACAATAAATCTTCTAGCCTCAAAAAAATCAGTCATATATTAAGTATTAATAGTTTTGTTTGACTAATTGAGTTCCTTGTGAGATAAATACTAGTGTTATATATTTCAAAAAGAATTTTAAAGCATGCAATCTCAATGTGCTTAAAAATGGGTCTGGGAAAAACAAGCTGATCTATGGGAGCAACCACAGACCTGCCATTCATGCCTTTAAGAACTTGCAGCCGTCACTAAGGGCTTGGAATTGGGATTCCCATTGGAAAAACCTCAGGTGATTTGTTATGACCACTTGTATATGCTAAGCAAATCTAAATCCAGAACACAGAGGGTGCTTTTTTTGCTTCACGTCCTTTTTTTATAAAGTATTTCACTTTTATAAAGATGCAAGTGAAGAAACTTTAAAAGGTATTTGCAGTAAAGGGCCTTTCCTGTTAATGTCTGTCTTGATAAGGAGATGATGCATGAGGGGAAACTATTAAAGATGATGGAGATCCTCATTTGGGTTTCCAACCTCTATAAACTTAAAGACTACCTTCCAGAAAACAGGTAGCCAATATATCATGGCTTATGCATCTTTGTTTCAAGTGATCACATTTTCAACAGGAGGGAGTTCAAGTTCTTCTAGTGCTTCATGGCAGACCTTCAATAACAGAAGCCCTCATTGCTTTTAAAAATGTTGGCATGAACACAAAAGGCTCAGAAGTCCTTAATTCTTAAAGATGCTGACTACCGGCAAGTGGAGTTATGGCTGTAAATCAAATCTAATTTCTGTGCCCAAAGGAGTTATTTCGATTGTAAAACAAGAGTCCGTAGCATAAAAATGTTCCCACCGTTATCCATAACAATTTTTTCAGATTTAAAATAAAATACTGAGTGATATTTTGGCTTTAGGTATTGGAAGAGTCCAAATGTCTCGTGCGGAGCTTCCTGAAATCCGGACTTGAAGATGTGAATGAGAAGGAGTGTCAGATGTTAAAACAGCTATGGAGCTCTTCCAAAGGACTGGATTCCTTATTCAGCTACTTGCAAGACAAAATTTATGAAGTCTGACATCTTGGCCTAACTTAAAGAGGAAATGCTCCACTTGTGAACAGAGTCAAACATGACCCGTGTTTGAAAAGCAGAGGCAATGCACCACTGAGGAATTTGTGACAGTGTACCCTAATACCTATGGTTGTGTCGACCTCCTTGTGAGCTGCAGAGCTGCTTGTAGCTGGTTTGATTTTGTGTAACCGAGACGTAGGCAGGCTTGTTCAGTGCACGTGATCTCCACAGAGGGCTGCATCTTTCACATTGCTCATCCAGATAAAGTACACATTCCATGTGCCGAGGAGCACGCGGAGGCCCAGGAAGGCACACCACCTGTAACGATTTATTCTGTCTGTCCTTCTTAACTTATTCTTGCTGTTGCAACACATCGAGGCTGACACAGAGGGCTCAGTCAAAAACTGGGTTGGCACGGGGTTTTGTAGGCCCAAACACCACACTTTAGAAATATTTTAATTTTTTTTTTCGAAGTTCTAACAGTGTAATGGAAAAATTGGATAATTTATATGTATAATATGTAAAGTTAGTTTTACAAAAACTACTAGGAATTTTTTCTTTGTTGAACTTATTTAACTTATTTATTTTGTGTTCATATTCAGCTGTTTATTGATAACAGATCTTATTTTCATACTTCCCTTGACTGAATTAACAGCATCACATGAGAACGCAAACACATTTTAGCAGCAAATCGTGTAGAAAAATAAAGAATGCTTAGAAATCACACAGAACGCTGCCGACAGTAAAAGAAACAGCCACGTGCATGCTCCTCTATGTGTAAAATTGTACAAAAACATGTACAAATTATGAAACAGATTCATTTGCCAGAGTTAATGGCAAAAAAGTGCATTCCGAAACAGTGAGTTCCCTTTAAGTCTCTCTTCACTTTCTGCCTTCTGGAGGAGCACTGAAGGGCTTGCCAACAAGACGCTTTGTCCACGTTTACTCTGTTCCTGTTAGCCGTGTATCAGTAGCAGGGCGAGTGGTGCCGTCACGTGGCATCGTACTGTTTTCAGGTTTAAACATCCCCTTTTGGTCTGAAGTCTAAAGGTAAATCCTTACGAGCCTTAGTCTAGTTGCCTGATCCCTCAGGTGTGAGGTAATTTCTGCTCTGGAGGCCTTTGGGTGTGGGCCAGCAGTTTATACAAGGTGCTAGGTATTGAACTAAGTGGAGGGAGAGGTTTTGTTTTGCTTTTCCCAGCTCTCCACATCTGGCTGCCCCACCATCTGTCACAAGAACTTAGGGCTCTCCACGAAAGAAGTCCACAACAGATGCTATTGTAGAGTGTGATCCTAGTACTTTCCTGTGACACTGACTGACTTCTGAACGCTGGATCTCTCTCAGTTCATTCTTGCTAGTAAGGCAATTAATATGGAAACAACACAAGCGTGCTCTGTGACTTCAGCTGCCATTTTAGTATGCCCAAATTAAAACCTCTTGAAGCAGAAGCTTTGCACATTTGTTTGCTTTGTAACTTGTGCACTTGCTCTCCATCCTCGAGCACAGTGACTTGCTTCTTGTTGAAGCCTCTACAAAGGAGGCCGCTAGGTTTTCTCCCTCCCAGTATTTTCATGAAGAGTTTCAACAAAGCCTTTGTAAAGTTAATGATCAGGTGATTATAGTAAACAGCAGCCTTCAACACATGAACATAGCATTTTTTTTCCCACATATAATTAGAAGTGTTGTTTCTATGGCCTAATTGCACCATGGGATTTTAAGGAAATCTTTACCCTAAAGGCAGAAGTTCTCATGGAAATTCTCCATGAAAAAGACAAAAATCTGGTTTCTAGTTGCCTGTTTTAAATATTTTCCGAACAACTTACCAAAACTAATAACTTATTTTTAAATGCCTGAGACAGAACTCTTTCAGTAAGTACTTGAAGCGATCGATGCACCACTTCTTTTCTACTGCTATCTGCTTATTTCCACAACCTGCCAGCACCTGGCACCACCTGGCACCACTGCCAGGGGGGCCACAGGAGCCCCCACGACACCAGTGCGGGCACGAGGCACCTGTGGGGCAATCCCAGTAAACGGAGAGGGATTACTCCAGTGAAAACCACTCACATGCATACGTGTTTGCACAACCAGGCCTCCAGCATATGACTTCAGAAGAAAGAAAAAACAAAAAAACAGCAAGCAATGGAAAGTACCATGATTCCTCAGTTTCCTTTATTTCCTTTATTCCCGTCCAGAGAGCCATAACTCCTAGTCATGTGTTAATAAGATATTAGGAAGTTTATTTCAATACTATGCTTGGGTTTTGTAGATAAATATAGAAAAATTGCTCAGCAATGTGAAGGTATGCTTTCCATAAGAGGTTTTCAAAGAGAGAGGAATCGTAAGTTGTTAGACCTTTAAACTGCATCATTTCATCTGAATTTTCAGATATCTGTATCTTAGCATTTTTTATGACAGAGGAATGGTTGAAATACATTTTCTATAATTATTTTTCCATTAAAGCAAGCGCTAACCATAGTTAACATTTTTAATTATTCATATCTATACAGTTACAATCTAGTTTTCACGGAATCTATTTTCCCTTCAGAAAAGAGTAATAACAATGTCAAAAGCTTCTTTTCCAGTATTTAAAGATCGGAATCGATTTTCTCTTGTGTTTCTGTCCTTACTAGGTATTCAGATATCTCGATGTACTGTACATATTAGTCTGGGTACCTTTACTAATATTCACAGTATTTAAGATTATAAATGCAATTTGTTGTTAAGTATGTTATTTTATTCTTGTGTAAATTGTTTTGTACAATCTTTAAAAATCTACAGTTTTGCATTTGTAGATATTAAAGGTAAGCAATTTATTTTGTGTTGTCCTGCATGTATATTTTTGCTGTAGATAAGTGTTGCTTAGTTTACTATTTCAGTACATTTCTGTTTAAATGAATAAGCTTACAAACTTTAATACAGTATATATTTTCAGAATATAAACTTTTATATTTCTGTGGTAGGTTAGGGTATGCGTTTTAGGCAATCTTTTTCACTACTATTAACTGTTCTTTTAATCTATAATACAATGGTTTTGTGCCAATAGTTTTTCATTAGAATAAAATGCTCTTTTAATGTTAGGGAGAAACAGACAATTTTGGTTGGGGTTTGTTTTATTTTCTTATTTTTTTTATTATTTTGCCAGCCTTTACAGTTTTAAATGTAATTTATAAATGTATTGCATTTGTGAATAAGCCTTACCATTAGGTACAAGAAATCTTTAAAGCTACATAATTACTTATGTAGCACTAAGGACTTCCCCAAATAATTGCTGTAAGAAAGTTAGCAAATCAGAGTACAGGGCCTTAAGTTTTTCTTGTGAAAAGGGTAATACGGGTTGTTTCTTTCGAACAACATAGGTAGACTGTCAGCATGGGCTTTGTTATATATAAACTGTGCATTTGTGCTCCCAACCACAGTAGTTTAATCTCAGGCTTTGTGTGGCTGGGTCTATAAAAGTCAAATCTGGCTAAAGCCAGCGCTCTTTAGGGGACACTAAAGAAGTTTACATAAGAGACTTATAGACAATCTTAATCATAGTACATTTGGGTACTCAGTATCCTAGATGTGTTATCTGTGTCTGCCCAATTAACCGTATGTTTTAAGCCATATTAAATCTCTTTACTGCTACTTTAAATACTACACTGAAAGTCATTCACTAGCTCACTTACTCACAGACAGGATTTCAATTTTTAGTGAATAAAAATATTATGCCTTCCATAAAAAAACCAAGGACCAAAGAACTGCATTATTCTAACAAAGCATTAGTTGCTTTGCCAGTGAACTAGTTTGACATTTGTACTGAAGATCAAATAGTCTCTTTCTGCTACAAACACTGCGTTCTCATCCGTCTCTAGTGTACGGGGAAAAGATGTATCCACTGACCTATTGGGAAAGGAGTGACCTTCAGCTAGGGTGGCATGTCTATTGGTAAGGCTTATTACCAAACCTCTGAGATGAAGCAAAGAACCAAAAATTCACAAATTATGTCAATGTAAATTTATTTTCAGAACTTGCACAAATAATTAATTGTAGAACTTTGCAAATTAGGCCCTTAAGTTATTTTGTCAGAACGCCATGGAACGGACTAAAACAGTTTCTAATATTTGTAATGATGAGTACATATTATAATATTATAAGGGTACAGGCACCCCTATATCACAGTGTTGTAAATATTTTCTGAAACTGGTACAGTACTGAGGGACTTGTATCTTCTGATATATCAAATATTGACTGTCTAGATCAAATTGTACACAATTTACTTGTCGATGGTCCTGTAACTAGTGTATGGACACATTTCTGGGTGCCTTAGAAGTTGTATTTTTCATGTGTGTTAATATGCAGTATTTATACATTGTGAGAAGCTGCTTTGAATAAAAACATTGAAACTTCATTTCAGTGCAGTGGTGTTCAGTTTTACACAATAGGAATCAAAAGGGATAAGTAGTAACCGGGATAAGTAGTAACTACAGTGATAAAGCTATTGGGCTCCTGCCTTTTAAAAGAAAGCAGGCATGCAGCAAGCTTTCTAAAAGAGAAATTCAACTTAAAACTTTTTTTTTTTCCCAAATGTCAAAACAGGGGACTAAAAGGCACTTCAGTAAGAACTCTCTGAGACCATTTATCATGACCCATCTCATTTATCATTTCATGATCAAATCCAAGAAAACCACTGAGAACTGTCTTATAATTACACTTCCAGGACACCTTTTGAACCATTATCACTTCCACTACTTGATATGTGCACGTCACCTGAAGCAGATCTGCCCAGAACCAACTACTGCATAGAGTATTTCAGCTCCACAGGAGGGTATTTGCCCAGGAGGCCAAGAGTCAGCTAGAACCCCCTTGGTGCACTGTGAAACTGGACCACCCAGTGGTCCTCCTGCACAGTTACAGATGGGATGTCCTTCCATGGGGTCTCTGGTACATGAGGTGATCATTGGGCCACAGTGTCCATGAATGTGGTTTCCAATCATGCTAATGACATGGTAATTTACAGAGC